GTTTAGGGTTTAGGGTAGCTTCTGCACGAGGCCAAGACCTCGGTTACGGCGGTTTTGGTAAATCTTACCCTTTGGTGAGGATCCCAGAACAAGAAAAGGAGGTAACCACAAAAGCCCTAAATCCTAAACCCATCCCTATTTTGGCTCTAGGGACTTATTTCGAAATGGTAGTATATATGGAGCCTCATGCCCTAAACCCCAAGCCTTTATAGAGCTCTTATATTTATTATAGAGCTCTTATAGTACCCGTATTACTGTAGACTGTACTCTTGTAGAACCCTACTTCATATGGAGCCCCTGGGGAAACGAAGGATTCCCGAGAAGACAGGCCTACGATAGGGGTTTAGGGTATAGGGNNCCCAAGAACTCTAAACCCTAAAACCCTAAACCCTTAACCCTAAACCCTAAACCCTGAACCCTAAATCCTAAATCCCAAGCCCTATAGACCCTAAACCGTAACCCTAAACCCTAAAACGTGGTTATATTAGAGGTTGAGGTTCGAACCCGGAGGTTGGGTGCCTTTTCTGGTTTTGGGTGCTTTTTTTTAGAGTTTAGGGATTAGGGGTGGAGGGTTGAGGAATTATGGGGTTTAGGGGTTTAGGGTTTAGGGATTTAGGGTGTGGGGTTTTATATAAGGTTTCAGTGTTTCAGGGTTTAGGTTTTAGGGATTTAGGGTTTCAGGGTTTAGGTTTTAGGGGCTTAGGGTTTCAGGGTTTAGGGTTTAGGGGTTTATAGTTTCAGGGTTTAGGCCTTAGGGATTTAGGGTTTCGGGTTTAGGGTTGAAGAGCTCTGGGCCCAAACTGGCCAGGCATAAGATAGCCCACGCCTTATTCGGGTTCATCTAGATTCCATGACAGTCCCAACACTCTGCTCTAGTTTTTCAACTTCGTCGAACCGTCTCGCGCAACACGGAGGAAGCCCAGCAAGCACTCTGTAGAATGCACCCCATGGATACGACCCTCTAAGCATTGGATACCGGATGTTGAGCCCTGAGTGCCAAGCCCTGAGCCCAGCAAACTAAGACGTCAACCGCCAACCCGCAACCTCAACCTCTGAACCTTCAACCCTAAACCCTAAACCCTAAACCCCCTGAACCCTCCAAACCCACCATCCTAAAGCCCTTCTGAAGCCGAAATAAAGCCCCAACATCCCTAAACCCTAAACCCTAAATCCCCAACATCCTTAAACCCTGGACAAGGAACTGGGTTTAGGTCACTATGGAGCCCCAAACCCACAATGGCAGGACCGGAAGCACTTGGTGGAGGTGCGGAGCTGGGTTTAGGGTTTAGGGCTTCGGGGTTGAGGGTTCAGGGTTGAGGTTTCAGAAATTAGGGGGGACCTTATTTTGGGGGTCCTTATAAGGATCCTACCATTTAGGGTACTATTAGGGTCCCCTATTTTGGGAAACCCCTTCGGAAGGGTGGGCGTGTGCATGTATGCTGGCATCGGTTCCCCTCGCCGGATCCAGGGTTCAGGGAAACTTGCGGTTCTTCATTTTCTCAAAAACTAGGCTTTAGGGATTAGGGGTCTAGGGTACAGGGATGAAGGTTTAAGGTATATTAGGTAACAGGGCGTAGGGATGGGGGGTTTAGGGCACCGGATGTAGGGTTTAAGATGTGGGTCATATAGGGGTCCTAATAGTTACCTATACTATGTTGGGGGTTCCTTATTTTTATGATAGTATAACGGGCCCCAAAACCCTGTTCTGACTATTAAGGCGCCAATATCATAGAGTTGTAGGATTTAGGGTTCAGGCTTTAGGATGTTTAGCGCGTTATCTCGAAAAGCATTGTGGCATCGAAAGTACCTAGGAAGACGGGATCTGCTCTATGCAAGGCAGACCTGCCTCACCATCACCAGTGCTAGGGTTTAGGGTTCAGGGTTTAGTCACCATCACCATACCACCATTGCCATTGCCAGTGCCTGCGTGCCAGCCACCTTAACCGCCACCACCGCCACCAATACCGCTGCTGCGCCGTTGCCATCGCGATCACCGTATCTCCGTCGCTATGAGCAGCATTCCTCCTTTTTAGTACAACATGACATTTCTTTATTGCCCTCCTCATCTCTTGTAGATGTTGGGGTAGTGATGTCACTCTGCTAAGCTTGGAAGCTGGCTCAGGCCGTCATTGTGCGCGTCATGAAGAGCCGTAAGACACTGGCCTTTCGACTGCATATTAGCGGTTCACCAGCCAAGAGAGTCCCAATTTCGGTCACTTTATAATTTAAGGCATAGTCTGGCATAGTCTTAATCAAGCGCCATTGGGCTCTCTTGGTCTCATGGGTCCATGCTTGTGGACGGGGCTTTGCGGGCGATTTCTGCCATCGTTTTTGAGGGCTCAGGGTTTCCGGCTAGTTGTTCCCTAAAGCCTAAACCGCCTAAACCCAAAGCCCTGAAGCAAAAGGCCGAAACCCAAAGCTTCTGATCGAATGAGCTCCGAGCATCAGGGGGCGGGGGCGGGGGAGGCGGCCAGGTCGATGTCGATTTGAAACCCGAGTAAGAGGAGTGTTGGTCAACAGGGAGTTGCTACGCATACATGCATAAACAGAAGCATAAGCAAATAAACAGATAAATGACTAAATCTTCAAATAAATAACAGAAATTAGTAAACATATATATATATATAT